TTAAAGAGTGAAACTGTTATATTCTCACTCTTCCTGCTCCAAACGCCATTCACTCACTTCAACAAAGTCTTTGCTAAGCACCTCCTGTGGGCCAAATGCTTCACCAGGGACTGGAGAGATGGCCCTTCTACTTGTGAAATTTTGTCTAGCTCTATATCGAGTAAACATTTTATCTGTAATTACGAATAATGTCCTTCTTTACTGGTGGAACTTTCCCAGCTCTCTTTGCCATTATTCCGTCCTTACCACCTTGACTTGGAATGGCGGAGGGCTCTAGTGTTCAGTCCTACATTTCTTTATTCATACAGTGTAATGGTTATTTCCCTGTGTATATAAGGTATCCTCGGCACGATGCCTAGAATTCTAACATGACTGGTCAGGATTCTCAGCAATAGAACAACCTAAGTTGGTCATGAGATCCATAATTGGTAACACTGCCCCCTTTATCATTCTGCCTCATTAAAGGGGTATGGATGACACGAGGGTGTGGGAAATAGGTGTGGTTCATTTGGACTTATAACACAGATCCAAATTGGTGATCATATCTACTTCTCTTTTTAAAATAATGTGTGTGGCTCAGGCAATTTACAAATCTCTCTCTTTAGCCTCCCAAATGCAAGACTGATGTTCAACAGTCTCTGACATGTGTAACAGGCATCTATGACTTCATACTTGGTCCACATACTACACTAGCTAAAGTGATGACCTGTGGATCATCACAAACTCCTCTCTGTCTCTCAATCACATAAAATTTCACGCAGAATCCCATTGCTTCCCAGAGGATGTCAACTCAATGCCTACATCAAATTGAACTGGTATGCTGCCTGTTCAGAACCTGCCCACCTTCAGCCCATTTTCCAATGAGCATCCAAAGAAACCCAATTTAAATAAAGTCACATTAAACCATGTCTGTCCTGTACCCTTTACCGACTCCATCTCATCCTGAGTTAAATCCGAAAGTGTGAATATAACACCTTATGAAGCCAAAGAATTTGAACTTCAACCAGGTCTTTGAATTCCTCCTTTCATCCTTGTTCACTCCATCCCAGCCACAGGAGTCCTGCTGCATCACACACGCTTATTTTATCTGGAATGTTCTTCAAATACGAGTGGGCCTCCCTCATTGATCTCCTTCAGATTTCTTAAAGAATTTTACCTGTGATCACCTCCATTTAGAACTCATAAATACACATTATTTTTGTCTCAAAAGAAAGCAGAAAATGTTTAATGGTTCTTAGTTTTATCTGAAAGTTGATGGACAGTGTTTTCCAAGAATAGATGTTGTATAAAAGTATGCAAATTAAAGAATTCTTCACAGATTTAAAAATCAAGGTGTACCAAGCAGAGAACAAAACAATTAGTTAAATGGTGTGGCTGGGTGAAAAGACAGAACCTAACTTTTGGCTTCCATACTTAAATCCTGACAACATGTGTGCCGTGGAACATCAGACATTCTGTGAAGGCAGGCGAAAGGGGCAAACGGCAGCCACAGAGACATTCAGATCGCATCCAGATCCAGGCCAGGCTTATTTTAATTCTATCAAAGAGACTAACAACCTTAGCAAATCAATCTTAAGTTCTCCAGACACTATTCCTCATCAACAGAATATCGGATAAAGGCGCATGCTCTACCTACCCCAAAGGACTAAAGGGAGAGTCTAATGGAATAATATCAGAGCTTTGTGAAATGGAAAGCACTATGAAAACACCTGCAGAAGTTTCCAAAAATCTATAAACCCACTTTTTTTTTAAAAAAAGATTTATTTTATTTTTATTGGAAAGGTTGATATACAAAGAGGAGAGACAGAAAGGAAGATCTTCCGTCTGATGATTCACTCCCCAAGTGAGCTCAATGGCTGGAGCTGAGCCAATCCGAAGCCAGGAGCCTCTTCCAGGCCTCCCACACAAGTGCAGGGTCCCTAGGCTTTGGGCTGTCCTCGACTGCTTTCCCAGGCCACAGGCAGGGAGTTGGATGGGAAGCAGGGCTGCCGGGATTAGAACCGGTGCCCATATGGGATCCCGGGTGTGCAAGGTGAGGACCTTAACCACTGCACCACCATGCCGGGCCCATATAAACCACTTTATTTGCATTTTGGTGACAGATTTTCAAGGCTGTCAGGGTAACAAGCATATTCATCACCTCCCCAATTTTTTCTATGCTTTTATTATCATTATTATTTGATGGCAGGGCACACAACAAAAATACACCATCCTCCTAACAAATTCTGACATATACAATATTGCACTGCTAAGCTGAGACACTACATTGCACAGCAGACATTTAGAACTGACCCATCTTGTGTAACTGAAGCCATGCCTCCACTGAGCCACTGCCCATGTCTCCCTCCAACCTTCTCCCTTGGCATTTATCATTCTATTCTGCTAGCTGTATTTGAGACCATTCTGAAGCCAAACTCCCCTTCCAGGCAGAAGAGCCAGCTCTTGGTTACTGACTTGTCATCTGCATCTGACAACCAGTATGTAAGGCCCTGAAAATGGCTTATCTCCTAGGCACCCACATGCTTGCTGAGTTAGACACCAAAACCTTAAGAGGACCCTTCCCAGCATACTCCTAACCGTGCAGCCTCCTGGTCATTGTATCTACACAATTTGAAATTTGTTACCCACAGGAGTTAAGCTGCTGCTCGAGAAGCCCACATCCCATAGCAGAGATCTGGATTGGGTTCTGCTCCACCTCCTGCCAACTCACACCCTGAGATGATAATTCAGATGTGAGCTCAAGTACCCGGTTCCCTGTCACTCCATGGGACCAGAAAGGAGCGCCACTCTGGTCCTCAGAGAGGCCAAACCCTGCCTGCTGTGGGCATTTAGGAAATGGATATGAACTCTGCCTCAGTCTCACGGAATCTCTTTGCCTTCCAAATGAAATAATTTTAAGAGTATAAAAGATTTCAGAATGTTTTAGACATTTTTCATGGTATTCCAGATATTCAAGAATATTCTATTAGCTGTCGAATCACTTTCAGGATAATGATTACAAGTAATTTCATCAAATAGTTCTTTCATACAATTAAGTTTTCATGTCCTGTTTCATGATTCTGGACCTTAGGTTTTTGGGTTTTTTTTTTGAAACCCAAATGTCATATATTTGTGAAAACAACATAGAAGGGTGAGGTTAGAGAGCTCTATTTTTAAAGATGAACTTACACTCTTATGTCTATTATTTTGAGATTCTTACACTTGGTGAGGCATAGATTACACAGGTACATACAAACCCCTTGAAAACTTAATCAAGATCAAGGCAAAAATTCACTAGTGCCTAAGGTATTGTTTACCTTTAGCACCAGCACGGTGGCACAGTGAGCTAACAGCCAACACCTGTACTGCCTGCATCCAACATGACCGCAAGTTCCAATCCCTTCAAGGCCTGATTGCTCTACTTCTGAACCATCTTCCTGCTACTTTGGCTGGGAAGGCCCTGGAGACCCCTGCCATCCATGTGGAAGACCCAGGTGGAGTTCTAGACTCCTGGCTTCTAACCTGGCTCCAGCCCTGGCCATCATGGCCACCTGGAAGAGCGAACCAGCAGATAGAAAGTCTCTTTTTCTTTCTTTATCTTTCAGATATTAAAAAAAAAAAAACAGATTTGGAAGACACAGTCTCACTTTCTTTTTCTTAATTTTTTCTACATGGCATTACTGACTGTGTGGTCAAAAATTTTTAATTTATCCAAATGAAGAGGGAAATAAGCATATTTTTGAAATCTCTTTGTTATAGAACATTTTAAAAGTAGTCTAGTTAAAAGAATCTAGGTTTAACTCAAATATGTAAAGTAAACACACTTAAAAACATGAATCCAAAAATCTGTAACCTAAATCAGCTGAATACATTGACTCCAAAATCAGGGATTCAACAAAAGAAATTATATTTCTATTGATGTGTGAATCTGCGTGTATTCTTGGTTGCATGTAATATATGCAACTGCTCAACGCTAGCTGTCCTTGCAGCCACATTACCATATTATTCAAATGAATCTATCATTTATATGTAAATAGACAAGATGAATGGCTTCTTCATTAGACAACAATTTTCAAATGACAAACACTCTCAGGCATCGGCAAGATAAAACTGCTGTACATACTCATTCTTTCATATTTTTAAAGGGAAAAATGTGAACTATTTCAAATTTTTAAAAAAGTAGTATGGTAATTACAAAATACAACCATAATATATTCACAGTACCAACAGCCATTCTTTTCAATAGAAGTCTGCACCAATGTCATTTGTATCTTATAAATTACATGTTCTCAGATCCATCTGTGAAAATTGGGATGTTAATGATCATGGTTACATTTCATGATTCTACGGTTAAATGCTGCAGTCATACTACACAAATAACATATGGTTTTCTAAGGGAAACGGAGAAAGATTAATTATGAGTTCAAGTCCAAGTCTGCCCGCAGTGACACTCTCAACACAATAAGATCATTCCATTGTGTGCCATGCAAATTGGAAGTTTTAATTAACAACTGAAATGTCAACCGAGGGAAAGAACTTTGAAGTCTAAATTCTATGTATCCGACTTTCCTCTGCCACACACATACAAAATATGCTAATAAGCATTTTTTTTTTAAATAGCAGAGAAACAGCTTCTAACTCTTCCTGGTTCATTCCCCAAATGCTCACAATAGCCAGGGCTAGTGTGGGCCAACGCCTGGATCCAGAAACTCTATCCAGGTTTCCCATGCAAATGGCAGAAACTCAAATGGCTGAGCCACCACTGTTGTCTTCCAGGGACTGCATTAACACGAATCAGGTAAAAAACACACATTTTACAGAGATAAAATATTTAATGAAAATCCAAGTTAACAATTTCTGGATTTTTACTTTAAGATCTGTATTACTCCAAAGTCTTTTAACAGGGCCACTGTTTGTGCAACACTACCAAGTCCCACAACAGCCACTGAGAGATGAAACTTTGTAATAACATTGTAAGAATTACATTCCTATTATTTAACTCAAATTCTTACTTCACTTACCACATATTCAAACACAAGTGTCAGTGTCTCCTTGGTATGGATGATGTCATGAAGCAGCACTATGTTGGCATGCTTTAGTCCTTTTAACAGAGAAGCTGTAAGATAAAGTGGATAGAAACACGATTTACTGTAGCTCTCAGCCAACTAATACGTTTCATTCTCATTTTGGCAAATTGTCAGATGAAAAAGAACTCATTTCTTAGGTTCAAAGCCAGGAACAATCAAGAATGAAGAGGTAGAAGAACAGTTTCCATTTGGAAGAGCTCCCCCTACACACAATCACTGCCCAATTATTTCATCGGTCATTTGTAATTAATCTCTACTTTGGTTGCATTATGGTCACAGAATAAATTTGGCATAACTTCAATTCTTCTTAAGTTGCTTAGTTGGTCTTGGATACACATTTTGCTCATGTTAAATGGAGGGCTCAACAGATGTTAACTGTTATTTAATGATGTAAACTAAGTTCTTCTATCTTGATTGACTACCTGAATTACGGTTCTCTCAACTTCTGAGGGGAACGGAGTGACATTTCCAAATGTTACTGGATTTTCCTTCCACTGTTTCACTTTCCAGTTGGCCACAATGGCTAGTGCTGGGCCAGAACAATGACTGCAGCCAGGAGCTTCAGCTGGGTCTTGCATCAGACCGAAGTACTTGGACATCTTCTGCTGCATTTCCCAGGACATTAACAGGGAGAGGGAGGCAGAGCTACTAGAACACCAACTGTGGCCTCTAACAGATGTTGTAGGGGAGATTCAACTGCTACATGATGCTGGTCCCATGTTTTATGATCTCTTACAGCAGTTTCCAATAGATGTGAGCTGCTTTTCTATTTCCATTCATTTATACACTGAGTTCCTAAAGTTCGAAACTCTTCTCTTGCCACATTTGCCCTCTTCCCTGTGGGTCTTATGGATGGTACTGATAGAAGCAAGGTGAGATTTTAAGCATGCTTTCTTGTTCATAATGGATTAATAGTTCCCATATTTATTTAAGTCTCTTCCACCAAAGGGAGCATGGACCATCAGGCTCCTGGCTTCGCCCTGGCTCAGCATCAGTTGTGACAGGTACTTCGAGAGTAAACCAGCAGATCAAAAATCTTTACCTATTTCTGTTTCTCTCAAGTTTCAATTAAATTAAAGTTTTAAATTTTGAAAGAAAATTATATACATAAAATCAGACTCTCTTTACCAGAGCTCAGTGCCCCCCATAAACATTTCAATTTTCATAAATGCCACAAATGATGTAACTTAGAGGTTTACCTACATTTTTAACCATTTCTCTATAATACACTGTGAAAATGGAACTTCAATGTCATGAATATTTACAACATTACAAATTAAATTTGCCATTGGATTTAGTTTTACAACTTTCTAACTCCATCTTAGGAAAAAGAATTCTTATTATTGAAAGACAAGCAGGACCTGGAGCAAGGACTTAGTGGCTAAATCCTTGCCTTGCATGCACTGGGGTCCAACACAGGTGTCAGTTCATGCCTTGGCTGCTCTGCCTTCCCTCCAGCTCCCTGTTCTGGCCTGGGAAAAGCAGTAGAGGCTGATCCAAAGCCTTGGGACACTGCACCTGCATGGGAGACCTGGAAGAAGCTCCTGACTCCTGGCTCCTGGCTTCAGATAAGCGCAGCTTAGGCCATTATGTCCCCTTGGGAAGTGGGCCAATAGATGGAAGATCTTTCTGTCTCTCCTGTTTGTAAATCTACCTTTCCAATAAAAATAAATCCTAAATAAAGACGAGGAAATTGTATTGAAAATATCATGCAATGGAAGTAATCTATCCAATTAAATATTCAAAATCCTTACTAAATTACATATTAGCATTTTTATACTCTTTAATTATGAATATTAATTCAAGAAGAAACTGTTCTTCCATAAGTAGTAATACAGGTAATCAGAATTATTGCCCCCAAAGCAAAAATCATCCCAGTTCAAAAAGATCACACATTTCCTCCACCATTTTAAAAACACTGTACCTTCAATTTTTAATTTTACTTAAGATTGCACAATCTGAACAGGGAGTGCTGAGGTGTTCACATGCATTCTATCAAACATTTACAATCATTCATTTATTCATCAAATATTTACTAAGAAGATGTAGACACTTGCATCCAATGTAGGCATGAGCAAATACTAAATGATACTGCAAGACTGTGTCTTCAAAGAGATTCATCACATCGAGAGTGACTCCTAACAGAAACTATGGAATGTACTATGAAATCATGTGTTGACATGTAAGTATGTCAATTGCAAGAGATGCACCATCCTGGGAGTTGGCAGGGACCTTGTAGTTAGAGCTTGTGCATGTGCAGGTCCCAGCAAAGTGCATATGGGAACTCTTGGTACTGTCCACTCAGTTTTGCTGTGAACCTACAACTGCTCTAAGATTAGTTCTTTCTAAAAGAAAAAAAAATTTCAAATATTTACTTATGCTTAAGCATAGTGAAACAAAAGGTAAATCTGCACTATGTAATATTTCATGCTAATAAATTAATATTTGAAATATGGAGCATCAAGGAAAGCAGCAGCTCTACTGGACAGTCCCTAAGGAAGGCAAAGAGAAAGCACACAGACTGATAAATTCTCATAGATCTCATGAATATGCATTCCAGTCATTATAGTTACCACTGCTGCTGTCAGTTGCAGGTGCCTTAATGGCATATAACTGCTTCAGTACAGTGTACCATCTCTTTAATCCCAAATGGTACTGCATAAACACAGAGTGCTACATCAGGCATCCACATGGACAGCTGATGGGTGTCGCTGATTCCAACACTACAAGACCACAAGGAGTGCATTCCCATCAAAACTGAGTCAGCAACATCGGTGTATATTCTGAACAAGAGGAGACAAGCTAACCATTATACAGAGGCCCTCTTTTCTGTCATATGCACAACTCTCAAGAGCAAGGTTTGCACAACAAAGTCCTTACACTAAAGTTACTTACATGTTTAAGTTTAATAAATTACCACAATAGTAAATAACTACACACTAAAATCATGACATCTAATCTCTGAAGAAATAATCACAGCAGACTTTCCAGATAACGTTATTTTTTATCTTGTCCCATTTCATTTTTCAAGTTACCCCCTAGGGTTGCCACACTCAGCGCTGATCCATCATGATGGGCAACGGCTCTAGAGAAACTCTGAAGCTTCCGTCTCTGTGAATCACCGTGAAGACCCTTTTCCCTCGCGCCATCACAGCCCCTCTCACAATGCACTCCGAAATTGTTTCTCATTGCTCAAAGTAACATCCCCACTCTCATCATTTCCCACATGTTTTCCACCTACAATTCTAGTGAAATCAAATGCCTACCATCATTCAACCAGGGGAAAAATACTTTTTTGTTCTTACAATGATTAATAGCACAGAGAAAAGCATGTCATTTGTTATATTTTCGAGTACTTCTACATAAAGCCTAAAAGCTTCCATATTTTATTCTAAAGTCCTGATTATTGCTGATTTTGGATTTCAGAACACCTTTATATAAATCTTTAAAACACATTGTCAGTTACATAAACACCAATATATGAATTCAAAAAGCAAGCCCTCTTTAAGATCAACATTCTGAATCTATACATGGGAGAGGTTAGAGCCATTCGTTTCAAGCTGATGTAAGAAAAAAACAGCATTAAAGGGTGGAATGCAGACTTCAGTGTCTACCAACACCAGGTGAGTGACAGATACGGCCACATTTGCACCTGTGCTGGATACAGCACTAACTGTTCCAGTCCAGAAGATGAGTCAGCTTGGTTGCCAAGTCTGTCCAGTGATTGGCACTTACAAGCACTAGAGCTGCCATGTCTCCTTCTCCAAGACAAACACTGTCAAAATAACACCCTGCGCAGTCCTAATGTTATCATATATATACCACATGTTATTTTCTCATCGTTTACATACAAAACAAATCCTGCAGTATCAGTGTTAGTAATTCCAGCATACTTGGCTTCCTCAGACATTTTAGGTAAACATATGGCAACATGTTAAATTCATTCCACCAGGGATGGTTGAAAAGGCAAAGCAGTGTAAGAAATACGAAGTGTGAGAATTAGGGTTCCGGATAAAAGTTACAACAAAGAGTTTTAGAACTGTGATGTCAAAAAATACGGAGATGAACACATGGTCGTGTTCATGAAAGTAAGTGCTGCCTTCCTTCCATAAAGTCCTCACAGGAAACCCTCCCTTGGGTAAGCAGCAGGATCCTAACACGTACTCCACACACACATTCACACCCTGCCTAACACACTGAGCACCAACAACTTTCCAACTTGAAGGCAACAAATCTCCCGCCAACATTAATCCCATTATGACTAAAATACATTGTGGATTAAATCACATCAGAATAAGTTCATTTTATAATGCTCCCAGTGTAGGATTAAAAGGAGTGTTAATAAAAACAACTAAACCTCATTAATATCAGAAATGTTTTTCCAGGTCATTATTTGGATATCCAACTAGCAACTTCAAGTTCATACACTTAAACAACACATCCTCTATCACATCCATTTTTGCCTCGGGAAAGAAATAGTATATTCAGTTTCCTTTCACTTTTTTTTAATATGTTCTTTTTCAGTGGGGTGCAAATGAGGATCCACTTCCTGACTTTATCACAAGAACTGCTGCCCATAAGATCCATGCAGTCAACCATACCTCAAACTACAAAGAACAACAAACATCGACTTTTACTTTCAATCTACAGACACACGGCTAGAAGGATGCTGAAACTCATTTTCTACTACAAGTAGTAAACTCGTGTTCAACTGATGAGTTCTATCTTGTCAGTGGATTCTGAAGTTTTCCAAAGCTCAAGCATCCTGCATGGGAAAATCTTAAAGAGTAAATAAGAAAAATGGAAAGAATGGCTTATTCACCTATGTTCCTGACAAGATGGTCAAGACAGAAAGTGGGCAGGTGTGTGCCTGCTCATGCACATTTCTACACGCATGCTTCCTAACTGGCCACAACACTGCGAGGCAATTACAGAAGCTGTGGTTCTATGTCACTCTGGAGAGCTCCCTAGGTACCCAATGCAAAAGATTATATATATGATCTATTATATATTACATATATTATATACA